CCCTTTAACAATGTTCATTTCCATATTCATCGGAAGATGGTGAAATGACAAGATGGGGGGTTATTTACTATATAATTATAAACTAATTTCAGCTTTACCCTGGGTTATCCTAGCAAGAAGATCTAAAATTTCCCTTACGAAAGCCCAGCTCTGCTAACCACGTCTGCAGTGAGATTAATTCCCAGCGATTTCCATTTCTCCAACAGCTGCTCTGCTGGGAAAGAGCAGGAGCTTGTCCCCAACACCAGGGACCTACCCAGTGCCCCATGCCACCCCTGGCTAGGATTTCTAGTGCCGGCTCATCCTCCAGATCAGATTTTCTCTGGCACACCATCAGTCAGGGATAGGACCAGTGGTTTTCCGACCCTACCAAGGAGACTCTGTACTGAGTAGGAGGCAAGGCTCACTCCAAGTGGGAGAAAGGCTGCTAGAAACCACACTAATAAATGACACCTTTACCAGCCTTCTGTTACCAGAGGCAAGGACAGACTCCTGCCCGTTCACCTGGGAAGGTGTTGGAAAGCCTCACACAGCAGAGGATCCCGCAGGACCTTGCTCCGAGCAAGTTTACGTCACCACATTGGCCCTTGGGCTCCTGTCCATGTTCCAAGCCCAACATCCCTAACCAGCTATCACTGCTTGGGATGGGCACTACAACGGAGTATGCAGCACAGGCTGGACAGTCCTTCCCATTGCTCCTGAAGGATGGAGATGCCACCCCACAGCCCACCAAAGGACCTTGGGAAAAACCACTGGGACATCAGAGAAAACAGGGAGCTCAGGGTGGGAGACTCCCAAAAACATGCAAGTGCCTTTTCCACCACCATTTCAGCCCAGACACTGCTCCTGCCTTCCTCACAGCCTGCAAGTTGGCCGCCAGCCCAAGGGAGCTGCAGGGACATCACTCCATGGCCGAGCACTTCCTCCACCCCCGGGGATGCCGAGTGTGAAGAGCAGCGTGTGACGGGACCCAGCACAACATCGCTGCCCAGCACCACCTCCCCGAGCCCCACTGGGACAGGCACACTCCCTGCTCTGCCTGAAAACACATCTCAAAAAGCATCTCGTTTCACCAGGGCCCCAGGGGAGGGGAAGCATCCTCCCAGGCAGGTCTCTGGCCCGTCCACATTCCTCCCGGTGTCCCTGCCCCAAGGAGCCCCCCTCGAACCACCCCCTGGGCAGGCAGGGAGGGGGAACCGCGATTTCAAGGGCCATTAAACACCGATGGTATTTTCCTTGCACCATCAAAACAGGACCTAAAGGAGCCGCGCTGAACCACGGGCTGGTCCAGGAGCCATCGCGCTCCGAGCAGCGCGGAGGAGCCCGGCACGGATGGCTCCGGTGCCCAACCCGTGCTATCCCGGTCTCTCTGTCAGCAAAGTGAGTTTAGCATGGATGCAGTTTGATGAGAGAATTGTGCTTCCACTGGCACTGCCGACGGCAAGGCCTCCTGCAAAATCTGCGGGCTCAGCAGAAGCACCATTTTGCCATTATAAGGATGGCTACGGCGGGATTTTGCTGGCACAGCAGCACTGTCCTGGGGGATGGAAGGGCATTTTTATTTCTTTTCCTATGCTCCTACCTGGCCCAGCTGTCTGGAAAACTTCTCCCCGGGCACAGCAGGCCTGGAAGCAAGGACGGTCTCCAATCTGCCTTAAATCCCTGCATTTGAATGCACATGCTAATGTGAAGTAGGAAAGCAGGGAAACCAAAATCTTTCCCCTCTGTCTGCCCCGATTTTCTTCCAGCCACTACTCTGGAGCTGGATTTAACACAGTCATCCCTGCTGATAGTGGCGTGTCCCTTTTCCCGAGCACTGAAAAGTGTTTCTGAAGCATATTTTAATGGAAGAGGCTGAGCATCCTTTTATATAAACACAGATCTGTTCCTGCAGCCCCCCACCCAAGAAGGGATACCTCAGCACACAGCAAAAAAGCCCATTTTTATTAATTGCTATGAACATTGTTTTAAACTCGAGGAGTCTGTTTTTGGGTATGATCCTTGCTCGCACACACACAGCCTGGCTGCTGCCTGGCAGGGACACGGTCCCAGAGCAGCCCTTCGCAATCGCGTCCGAGGGAGCCTTTTCCACCTCCCCCAAAACACAGAGCCTGCCAAGAACAACACGCTCCTCTGGGATGGAGCCCAGACCGGGACCCAAAGACAGTGGCATAGGGAAGGAGTAAAATTATAAACCTCCGTATTTTGAGCTGCTGCAGAGCGGAGCGAGCCATTGCTTTAATGGACTCAGCTGCCTCGTTCCATCGATTGCAGCCTTTTTCGTCTTCCCAGCGAGCTCCAGGCATAAAATTCCATTGCAAACAGTCCCTTTCCTCTGCTATCCCTCCTCAATTCCCATCGGGGGAGCACCCCCTGCCCTCCTCAGGGATGGGGAGATGCCCAAGAGTACAGGGGGGGACAGGGAATGGCATTCCCGCATGCAGGGCTGGCTCAGCTCCCTCCTCAGCCTCCAGCTCCCTCCTCCCTCCAAGCACTTCCAACAAAGGAGCTTCTATCCCTGTCCCCCCCCGGCCCCCAAAACGCTGCCATGGAGCAGAAATCCCCCGGAGAGGAGCCAAGCCAGGGGTCACTGGACACAGGGGCTGGGGAAGGAGAGCCCGGCTGCCCGAACGAGCAGAAGGTACGGGAAAAACAAGGAGTCGGTGCCGGCCATAACTGCATTCTCAAATATGGCCAATCATGCTATTTTTACAGGGGCGTATTTATTTTCGGAGGACGCTGGGACAGATTCAAGAGTCTCTTTCTTCAACCCGGCGGAATTTAAGGATCGGTTTGAACTGGCTCTATTTAAAGGCTTCGCCTCCTGCCCACTTTTCTTAACCCCTTGCACAAGCCTTTGCATTCCAACCCTCCTAAAAACAAAACAAACCCCCCCAAAAAAAACACAACAACAACAAAAAAAGCACCAAAACCACACAGCAACAGCACTGCGAATGCAAACCTACAAAGGGCCCCTCTGTAGCAGGAAGCAATCATCATTTCAGGCGATATTGTTAAAGCCGTAAAAAACAGCAACAACAAAAATATCCCTGCCTATCCCACTGCTGTGGTTTAACTGGAGTTTCGGCTGTTAATTGTACAAATCTTTTTAATGAAGTTTTGCCTGACTGGGAATTGCCGTGACAAAAGCTGAGCTTTGTGCCGGGGAGACCGGGCGCAACTGAGATGCTGGGAAAGGGGATTTCAAACAACTGTCAGGAAAAAGGAAAATAAAAATAATTTAAAAAATAAAATAAGAATTCAATAAAGAAATAATTGGAGGTATCACACACCCCACTCTCTCTGTGAGGGGACAGAAATCTGAGGCTTTCTCCCAGTGCGGTAGGAAAGCTCCCAGACGGCATCACAGAGCTTGGTCAGCTTGGAGAGGTCAGAGCTCTGTGCTTCCCTCCTGGGAAAAATCCTACCTGGATTTCAGAAAAGGAAACTTTGGGAGAAGAAACAAACATGGAAAAAAAAAAAATACTCAATAAAAAATAATTTTAAAAATACCAAGAACCCACACTCGGTTTGGCTTGAGATTGTCCAGATGAATTTTTGCGAAGATCATATTCTGCCGCAGTAGGAGGTGGAGGAGAGGGGGGAAAAAATAACCGGGGGGTGGAAAAAAAGGGAAAAAAAAAAAAAAAAAGACAAAAGGGAAAGAAAAAAGGTGTTTGCCCATGTGCTTGGCTTCATAGCCCCGTTCACTTTACACCTCTCCTCTTAGCACCTGGGAAATTGGCACTGCCACCTAGTCTAAAACTAATAAATCTTTTTCCCTCGATTCAGGCTGCTTCCTTCTCTGCAGATGTTGGCAATCAGGTTTGCAAATTTCAAAGTCATTCATCCCGGGCGGCTGGGAGAAAAGCAGGTTTATTATTGCAAAACCTGTCACCCTCCCAACGCCTAAAGTAAACTCCGAGTCACCTCTCCACGCCCAGGGGAAAGAAAGCGGGTAAAAAAAAAAAAAAAAATTAAAAATAGAGCCAGAGAGGGAAATCAAACGGTCAGAAATGCCTTGTGTCCTCCCAGGGAAAGCAGCGAGCAGGAGGTGTGGGCAGGAGAGTGCGGCAGCGTCCTCCCAGCAGAGCCGGACTCCGCGACCGCTGGGAAAGGGAGCTCGGAAAAGGGTTAAAAAATGAAAAACCTCCAAAAAACAAAAGTAATTTAAACAAATAAATAAAAAGCTGACTGTGGGAAAAAAAAAATAAACTGCGTATATTTCAGTGTCTACTATTTTTTTTTTTTTTTTTTTAAATGGAGATACAGCCATGGGGCTGCCCGAGGATGAAGCGCGTTGAGAAGGGGGAAAAAATATAAGGAGGGAGAAGACATTGCACGCTGAATAGGAGTTTTGTTTGCGGGTTTAAAAAATAAGAATTGTGGAGGGGAAAAAAAGAAAAAAAAGAAAAAAAAAAAAAATCAAAACCAGCGCTGCCGGGAGACAGCTGGATCTCAGGCTGCACCGGTCAAGAAATCACCAAAAGAGCCCCATTTTCCCCTTTTTCCCAGCCCAGGGATGATTTTTTTGGCTGTCCGGGAAGCGCAGCGCCGGGCAGTGCAGTCCCGTCCCTCCGCAACCCGAGCCGCGCCTCTCCCAGCTTTGCCGAAAATCGGATTTATTCCCCGGATTTATTCCGCAGCCGCCGCGGCGGGGATTTTCCTCTGTGCCAACAAAACAGTACGCTCGAAGGGGGGCTTCTATCGCCTAGGCGCGATTTTTTTCCCTCGATTCCCCTATTTTTTTACTCCATTCCCTTATTTTTCCACCATCACCCTATTTATTTTTTTTCCCTACTTCTTCCCCATTCCCCTATTTTTTTTCGCCAAATCAAAACCACGCGAAGCAGAAAACACTTGGGGAAAACAGGCGAAAAAGCTGCGAGCGCATAAATCTAAAAACTATCGATATTTAGATTTTTTGGGGGGGGGGTTAAAACGCGATCCCGGGATCGGCGGCCGCGGAGGGAAGGGAGGGAAGGAGCGGGGGGTCTTACCCGGGTGGGAGTGGAGGCTGATGCCCGATGCGAGGAATTTTCCGGGCTGGAGGGCGGCGGGGAGCCCGGCAGCCATGGGCCCG